TAGGGTTTATAGGGTTTAGGGTATCGGGTTTGGGGTTCAGGGTTGAGGGTTCAGGGGTTTGGGTTTAGGGTTCAGGGTTCAGGGTTCAGGGTTTAGGGTTTAGGGTGTAGGGTTTAGGGTTTAGTACAGGGACCTAAGTAAATACCTATATTATTTCGGGGTTCCTTATTATTTTTATAGTATAGTGGGGCCGAAACCCTGATTCTAATTATCAAGGCTCCCATATTACTGGTGTAGGGTTTAGGGCTCATGTGGCTTAGGGTTTTGGTTGTAGGATTTAGGGTTTTGGGTTTCGGGTGTAGGGTTTATAGGGCTTCTGTTCCTGCTTGCAAGCCTGGTTCAAGCTTGTTGCGTCACAACTTACCCCCAAGTACTCGGCCAAGCTTGCTTCGGGCCTTTAAGGTGCTTATGCATTCTTGAACAGTGAGTCTTGTGACATGTAGGGCTGAGAGTTCAGGGCTACAGTCAGCGGCCGATAGTAGAACTAGTGTGACGCCCACAAAGCATTACAAGCAGACCGGTTATGGGGTGAAGCTAGTTCAACTGATTTCAATCTCCAGCCTTCATACCTTTTGGTTGAAATATCGAGTTTGCAACAGTGGACATCATTTTTATGTGACCGCTCGCCGTTCGATAAGTAGAACCCTATTCCATCTCACGCCAAATTTCGCGGCTTCGTCTCCCTAGCCCTAGCAACAATGGAAGAAACGATAAAGGGCAATAAGTTTGATGATGGATCGAAAAATGACACTTCGACTGAATAAGACCAGCCGTTATAAAGACCCGATGTATAAGGAAGCCTGAGAAGACGACCCCCCTATATCAAGCTGATTGGGTCGAGCCACATTGGGGCTCCATCCACATTCCGCCATGAGACTACCGGGCTCAGGGTGGAGGGTTTAGGGTTTAGGGTTTTAGGGTTTAGGGTCTAGGGTCTAGGGTTTAGGGTTTAGGATTTAGGGTTTAGGGTTTTAGGGTTTAGGGTTTAGGGTTTAGGGGGTGCAGGGGTTTCGCCATTTAGGCCCTCATGCCGCCATCCTCCTACACCAAGTCGAGCGCTAGCTAAGAGGCCAGAGGTCTCTTCGAAAGCAGGAAGCCCCACTCCTAAACCCAAAGCCCCAAACCCTAAACCCACGGTTTAGGGTTTAGGGTTTAGGGTTTAGGGTTTAGGGTTTAGGGTTTAGGGTTTAGGATTCTATAAACCCTTAACCCTTAACCCCTAAGCCCTTGACCCTTAGCCTTAAACCGTAGCAGGAACGCGGTGCTCCGCAGCACAACCTGGGAGTCTGTGTGACGAAGTTGGCACAGAACCCCAACTACCGAGAAAAGGCCGGGCCAAGGAGGTGTAGGGCTGCCACCCTAAACCCCTAAACCCCTAAACCCCTAAACCCCTAAACCCCTAAACCCTTAAACCCTAAACCCCTTAAACCCCTAAACTTTAAACCCTAAACCCCTAAACCCCTAAACCCGAAACCCTAAACTCCTAAATCCTACAAGGCCTCTAGGGATTCTAAATGTAGGAACTTGTAAGTAGGAACTTGAGCAAGAAACCCTGGCCTTGTAACCCCCAAAACCATTAGGATCCAGACAAAGAGCCCCAATAAGGATCCAAGGTTTCTCCGTCAAGGATTCCGGTTTAAAACCCTAAACCCTAAACCCTGAACCCTAAACCCTAAACCGGTTTAGGGCTTAGGGTTCAGGGGTTTAAGTTTCAGGGAGAAAGGCCCAAAGGCTCCATGTACGTGTAGGGTAGATACTTAAGCCTTAAAGGGATCCGTATATAGGTACTTTACGGTTTAGGGTGTAGGGTTTAGGGTACCTTTATAGTAGATACTTAGGCCTTAACGGGATCCCTGTATAGGTACTTTAAGGCCTAAGTAACTACTATGTGGGTACATGGAGCCTTAGGCAGAGTTCCTTTACGGGTATACGCCGGACTGGAAGGTCTAAACCCTAAACCCTAAAC